CATGCAGTCTTCATTTATATTATACATTTTTTAATATGTTCGTATTACTGATTTTACCTTCTTTTTTTTTTCTGTTGGGTTCTCTTGCTGCAGTTTCTCCCTATGATTACTGTTTAGTGTTTTATTTGTTTAATTATCGTTATATTTAGCAACTGTACTTTTAAAATGTATAAAGACTGGTGTAAATTCATTTTATTCTGCTTTAGATACTGAAAATGGAATCTGATAGAATTCCGAAACATTTATCGATGTCCCCTTTTTGTCAATAAACAATGTTGTATATCATAAGTGTCATAATCTTGTTTATAATCAAACTTTGTTTTCCTTCGAACACATCAATTGCTAATTGTTAACAGAGTTTAGTCTAATGTTACAAGTGGTTTGCTTCAGGAGTCTATACATTAATGAAAGCTGGAAATTGGTTAGGTTTGCTGATAATATAAAAATCTTATACTTAGTTTGCTGTAATAAGGATACTTTAATTTTGTAAAGAGACTTACGTTGATGAGGGCATTGATTGATACAGCTCTTAAGCCTTATACTGACTACAAGCCTAAATAAATCATTGTGGCATTGGATAATTACTACTTATGTTCCATTTAGAGTACTGAGTGCAGTTTTCATTCCCTTAGCTCAAGAAGATTATAGTTTATGAAGAAGGTTCTGAAGAAGGTTACTACTATAGGATGATTCTGGTTATGCATGGGTTGTTATACGAGGATAAGTTGAGATCCCTTAAATTGTTCTCTCTTAAAAAAAGAGAGAGAAGAGAGCAGGGGTGATCTAATCAAAGTGATCAGAACTATTGAAAGAAATGATGAGAATGAGGTATCAGATTTTTTCTTGTTGAATTCTGAGGGCAGTAGGACAAGAAGTTATAAGTTTGAGATATTTATAGATCAGAAACATCTCCAGTTAAGACAGTTCTTTTCTCAAATAGAATGGTAAGTCCATGGAAAAAAATTAGCATTTAGAGTGTTAGAGGCTGCATCTTTACAGAAGGTTAAAATAAGGGTTGCTGAAGATTTTGGGATCATGGCTGAATCTATCAAATTAATTTCTGTTTGTTGAAGGAGGTTAGGAGTCAGGACATAATCAATTGGCACAAGAGGCCCTTGATGTCCCATAAATTATAATAAAAAAGGTATAACAACATTATATTTTATATCTCATGGCTTTCTTTCATATGTACATGTAAATAGATGTATATGAGTACAAACCTGGATCATTACAAAAGAAACTTCCACCAACAGGAGAATAGCGACTCTGTCTTCCTGAGCTACGTTCTCTGTATGCTGGCAGTTCTTCTTCTTTTATCTGGTTTATGCCCTCCTCTAGTTCGACCCATGGACCAGACTGCCAGTCACTCGCATTACCTCTTATCACACTGACAAACTTCTGTTTACTTGCTGTAGCTTTGCCAGAGAAATAGGTGTCATCCATGCCTACAGTATCTGGATCTTTTCTCAGCAGCATGGTCAGAGGTTGATTAATCCAGCCTGTGTTCTCCTCCAAGTTCTTCCATGCTGTTAACCGCTGAGATAACACTGTACCTCTAGGTTCAAAACCCTAGTTACACAATATATTTTACTATACTTACTGATCTTATCTATCTAATAGTATAAAAAAAAATTGAAATAATTTTACTACATTAATTTTGTTGAATATATTCAAAAGCAGACATTTACATGTTTAAAACCAAAATCAACAGAGGATGAAAAGAAATAGAAATCTATGCTTCAAAAATACCAAGCATATTTTTATATAAATCAGTCTTAAGCTCAATGAACAATAACCAGATAGAGTATATAGAATTTAAAATGAAGAAATGTTTTTAATACCAAACATGTTTTATTAGTACAGGAATAGAAACAAACACATGTAATTGTTATGAAAGATATTCTCCAGCTGTTTGGAAAACCAGCTAGTCACATAAAAAGTTTAACAATGAAGCACTGTTTAGTGTATTTTGATTTGTGTATCTATAATATACTAAAACATAGTTAATAAATGCACAGAAATTATATTCCAAATTTCTTACTTATTACCAAATTAACTAATTATATGCCCTTAAATTTACTAAACTTGAAACTGCTAAAATCAATGAGTAATTGTTCTAAACTTTGATACACAAGATAATTCAAAATTGTTAACTTAAAAAGGGGAACATGGATCATCATAAAGTACAGAAACATGCTGAATCAAAATGCAAAGATTATATTTTCAAGCCTACAACTAGGGACTCTAAAAGAAAAAAGTAAACAAACTAGTCTGGAAATAGTATCTACATTATTTTCTCAAGCTACAAATCCCTATTTTGACTGCATGTCTACATTACTTATCAATTTTGGTAGAGTCAAAATAGAGATTTGTAGCTTAAGAAAATAATGGTGATACTATTTCCTGACTAGTTTGTTTACGTTTTTAGAGTCCCTAGTTATAGGCTTGAAAATATAATCTTTGCATCTTGATTCGACTTGTTTCTGTACTTTTTTGATGATCCCTATTCCTCTTTTTAAATTAACAATTCTTAATTATCTTGTTTCTTAAGTTTTTTTATGTCCATTTATGGAGAATAAATTTTAAGCTATATATGTGCATATGCATTCAATTGAATGTTACATGTTTTTCAACAGTTTACTGCTGCTTTAGCTTTTTTTCCACCCAACCATTATTTACTGATCCAGGTGGTTTTGTACCTGAGGTTTCGTGTAAACACACTTTTAACAAGTGAAGTACAAAAATCAGTAAAATAAATCACCACTCACAAAAGTAGAGAAATCTACTACAGTAATAATTTACTGTTAGAAAACTCACTGATATAATTCGCACAAAACCATGTAGAGACAACGTACAACTGTGAACTCAAGAAATGATGAATCCACAATGTGGCAGTTTCTTATTAATGCGCATTAGTAAAACACCAGATTTTTTCAATGGGAGAAAGTGAAGGATTTAGAGAAATTCTTCAGGGTGAAAAAACAAAGGCACTTGAATTAATTTTAAAACTACTCTATGACATGCTCAATACTGCAATGATTACTACTGTCCAGGTTTCAGTAATATAATCATAGATGTATTTTCTGTAGCAGCTTGTAAAGCTATAATGAATAATAATAAGGCTGGATACACTGTTATAAATATACACATTGTTTACTCTAATATAAAATGGAGCATTTCGAACTATTATAACGGTGCTTAAATGGCTTCAAAGAGCTTATGTTGATAGCAAAAAAGAACTTAGAAAATTTTAGAGAGTGGAAATCTTGACTTTCAAGAATCAACTTAAAAATAGCCCTACAACTTTCACAAGAATTTTTTTAGTAGCTGTGCATAGATTATGGCACAGTATACCTGGCCGTTTTGCTGTAGGCTTTGGTGCTTGAATGGCTTCGAAGAGAAACTTGGTCAGAAGAGATGAAAAAACTGATAAAATCTCTCCTCCTCTTCTAAGAATCAACATAAAAATAGTCCTATAACCAGCATGAATTCAGAGGTCTTTATGTTTGACATAAAAAATTCCTATAATTTCATTTAATTTTCCATGCCTTGAAATGTCAATTCTTTTTGTGAGACACGTTTTTGAAAAAAATATCAAAACTACTTCACAGAATTGTGGAAAAAACAAGATAATTGTACATTTCACAAATACATCATTTATTCACAACTATGGTTTCACCAGTAAAGGCATCATCAGGTACATCGCCTTTACTGGCAAAACCATGGTCATGAATAAATAATGTATTTGTGAAATGTACAATTGTCTTGTTTTCCTCAATTCTGTAATCATGAAGTTTCACCAAGTACTGACAGTTTCAAGTGTCAATTGTAAAAAATATTTCATTCTCTCCTAGAATTTAATTTCTATTTTTTGTGGATCAGAAAGTCCATTTTGTATATTCAATTCATTTCAACTTGATTGATTTTCATTAACACATTTCTTTTCAAAGTTTATTTTGCTGATTGCAGTAGCAACCACTTCTGGATATAGTCATAAAAACATCATATAAATTGACAAAGATTTGTTGGTGACCTATAACTTTTCAAAATGGTGTCAGGTAAGAATATTTTTTGCAAACAGTATTCTTGGTGGAAATCAAATAAACATACTTATTTTCAATATATTATAATTTTTTATTGATTTATCAGCATTTAAATATTGTAAACTTAATAATATTAAATAAATATGGATTTGAATCCCATTTGACTTACTGGAATATTTTGCTGCCATTACTGTACTCTCTAAATCTAACAAGTCTTACCTTAACTTTCAAAAGTTAACATTTTTCTTACCTGAAAATATATTTCAGATAGATACTTACCTCTCTGCACCACTTAGAGCTATTACCTCACATGCAACTGTCATGGAATTTTCTGCATATGCCACAAGCCTTGAACAAACTCCCACCCCTACACTTGTCTATGTGTATTGTGTCAACCTATGACATAATTGTCGTAATGCTGTAGCCTTTCAACAACAGGAAGACAACACAACCTCCATGTGCAGTAATCTTCATGAGCACATGATCATAGACTCATTCTTGATGATGCAAACAAAATGCACCAGAATTGGACAGGAAAGTTGGGAAATGGTTCAGTGGGATAAGTATCTGAAGTACATTTTTAGGTAAATGAAATGTTAACTTCAGAAACATTACTTACCTCTCTGCACCTATAAGAGCTGGAGTCACACACTGAAGACTGTGGAGGGACAATTGCTTAACAACAACAATGATGAGTACCTTTCTGAAAATCCAATGCTGTTGGTAATGTGCCAGTGGGTAGAACATTAGAATGTGCAGTGTGGCTAGTTCTTTAGCTGTTCTGTCTTGGTGAAATACTTACATGAGGTAGGTACAATAACAACATGTGGAGGAAAAAGGAGTCCTCATCTGCATCCTGAGGCAAATCCAAGTTCAATCTAGCTGAATATATCCACTGGGAAATATTGTAATGGGGTGTCCTGTACTACACTTTCAGGTAACACTTCAGCCCTACATCTCAAATGAGAGGTGGGCCTAACCTGTCATTTACCAGAAGAAGGCACCACTCATAGAGGAAACATAAAGGCACAACTCATAGAGAAAAGTCTCCACATCAACATGTCTAGCAGCTTTGGACTGGGGAAGTAAAGGTTCTTTTGTACTGCATTAGAAGAATGGGAGGGGGGGATACCCATAGGGGAGAACATTGGAGAGTGTGTATGGACCAAGTGTAAGGACAGGATTACATCTGGTGTATTTTTTGTAAAAGATGGGGAACAGCCATACCAATTCGTTAGATATACTACCAAAACAGTCTTGCAGAAAAACCTATCTAAATGATGGGCATTCAGCAGGGACAGATGAAGTTTAATACTTCCATACTCCCTCGCTTAATGTGGACTTCAGGTAAGTATTTTACTTTGAGGTAACACCAGCTACACAATGAGATCCAATGACATCAAACATAATGACTGTAGTGTTTAGTTCCACATGATAAGTATTTTTTATATGTGTGTGTGTGTTTTGCCTCCTCCCCTTTTTTTGTTGAATGTATCCAAAAGAAATGGTAGATAAATGGTGGTCTTGTGAAAAGTGTGAGGAACATGAAAATCAACCTAGATCAGTGAAGAAATTGGAAAAAAAATTGAAAGGCACAAATCACTAGACTAGAGTCTCAGGGTAGACTGGAGAAGAGAAACCAGAGGAAGGCAAAAACCAGAAGCACATGAAACCACCAAGTAATGTAAGTAATGAAAGATGAATGTGTTTGAAGTCCACATACTGGCTTGCAAGATCTCCTCCAAAGGTAACCATTGAAAGGATACAAAAGAGATTGTGATATGCCTAATTTGATGGGAGAGGACATTAAAAAGTAGGCAGTCGGATTCACCCAGAAATGAATATGTCAGATGAATGAACAGACAAACCCAACCAGTTTGTCAGGTTTTTACACGTATTGATAGGTCAGATTCTTTACAGTAGGTTACTGTAAATTGTTGATGATAAATTTCAACAATAATCAAACAGCACACAATCTACTTGTTTGAAAATAATATATTCAAACATGTCAAATATATATATACAAATGTTCGTTATACTGCTGGTTATCACAGTTGTATCCAGAGTATTCAATAATTGTCTCTTTTCATCAAAAGTCTAAACAAGTTTGTTCACTTACTTTAGAACCCATTTGACAAAATGAATTATTCTTCTCTACTCTGTTGTTACAATAATTCACTTTAAAAATCGCTACTATATGCTCTTTATGACTAAACTCACAATCATACAGTCTAGATCTACCTATCAATCTTAATAACTTTATTGACACATACACACACACACGACAGCAGTCTCGAACATTCCACTCAATACTAGACATTATGACATAACAATACTCAATTAAAGCAATGAGAAAAATTGATAAGGTTTGAGTAACATAATGTCAGATCACAACAATTGAACTACACAACGTATGATTCATACACAGTTACATAAACTAACCTGTGACTAAATTTAACAATCATGCTATATGTAAATTATCTAAGTCATAATCCTTGCATTAACTTAAAGATATGTATATATCTAACACAGTTAAAGTGGAAGGGGATAAGTCCCTAGCAGACGAGGTAAGGCATGGGGAAAAATAAGCAATTTTCACAAAAGTATGACTGGGATATAGCAATGGAGAGATGTAACTGAACAGAAAAGATGATCAGGAATGGAATGATCACATAATGAAGAAATAAAAGGGAAAGAGGCAGTTCATAGAAGACAAGGGTAATCAGGGAGCAAATCAATAGACCTTACAACATAGAGGATGGTAGGAGGCGAGGCATATGAATGCTCAAAACAAAAAGGACTACAAGCAAGTAGAAGGAGAAAACAGCCAAAAGAAAGGGAACAGTACTAGGAAAAAGTGAAATATATGGATAATAATGCTCATTAACTGGTAATCACTGAAATATACAGGGATATGGCCAAAAACCAGGTAAAACAGAGGTCCCAAAAGTGGATGCCTCCCTGGTTGATGATGTAAGAAACATTCACAGAACTGCTAGAACAGACATCAAGAGATGATGGGCACTAAAGGTTTCACAGCCAAGAATTGGCTCCAAGGAAGATTTACTGCTAAATGTCTTGATAGTCTGTCCAGTGGGAGGGAAATAACAAGTAGAAGCAATAAGACAAGGAACAGGAGAGGAGAGGTAGCCAACAGATATACCCATGGTCTATTGGGTCAGCAAATCAGGGAAGTGAAGAAAGATTGTTCGTGATCAGCCCCAAGATTCGAGTAGTGAGAAAAGTGGCAAGACTTGGGTCAAGGATAGAAGAAGGAGGGAGGCAGACACCCAAAAGAAAAGCATCCAGACTGAGGAGATTCCAAGAACAAATAAACCAAATCAAAAAAGAGATAGTGGTGGAAAAAACAGAAGCAAAGAGTGAAATAATAAAAAGTGGCATTATCAAAATAATTGTAAGTTTTGATGAAGAGCAATAGTGAGAGGTGGGGAATGTAACACAGGAGTTACAGATATGATGAAATGAGCAGATTGCAGGAAAGAAAGACATCAAGAAGGAGAAAGAGTAGTGCCCCAAGCAGACAGAAGGAATACAAGAGATTAGGGTACAAAAATATAGAAGATTCATGACCTTAGGATACACCAAAGGAGTCATGAAGATGAGGAGAACAAGGAAAAAGAAAACTAATGTGGAGATAGGACAGAAGAAGGCCCATCAAATAAAGCAATCCAAGAGCCATTATGATAAACAAGCAAAAGAGATAGAAAGTCGCATACTTGATTTATTATAGTAGTAAACAGTAAAAAAAAGTACCTGTTCCTCATCAAATAAAAGAACCAGAAGCAAAGGCTGGAGGTGGAGAAGTTGACCAAAATCATTCACAGGTGAAGCAGGCTTCACAGAAGGCAATGAAGCAGAGTAATAATGACCTGAACTAGAGAAGAAGTAAGTAGAAGAGAACCAACCACTAGATACACGATTGTGGTAGCATCACGTTTAAAGAACATCAGCAGTGAACAACATATTGTCAGCCCATTTAATGTGTCAAAAATAATCACAACATCTCACCATTGATTGAAATCCAATTACTGTCACACATCAGGCATTTGCTCTACTAGTTGAAAATAGGATAACTACTGAACATTAGTTCTGTGATAGATAAGGTGTCTCTGGTTGCCAATGGCATTGTTGTACAAAATGCCTAAAGAGGAATGACTGGGCCGTGAATCTTTTGCAACTGTTGTTTTAAGTAACACAAAGAAGAAATGTGGTGGCTAGAGAAAACAAAATTGCAAGCAGGAAGAAGTTAAGTACAACAAGGACAAAAGTAATGTAACACTAAATGAAAAAAATGCAGTAGGACTAAACAATTACAAGCTCAAAAAACACAGGAAACAACCCATCCAGTTTGATTAAAATTTTGCACAAAGCTACACAAGAGCTATCTGCACTAGCCATCCCTAACTAAGCAGTGAAAGACTAGGGAAGGCAGCTAGTCATCCCCATCCACTGCCAAATGTTGAGCTACTCTTTTACCAATGAAAACTGGGATTGACCATCACATTATAATGCATCCACAGCTGAAAGGGCAAGCATGTTTGGTGGGACAGGGATTCAAACCTGTGACCTGCAAATTGCAAGTCGAGTGTCCTAACCACCTGGAGATGCCAGGCTGCAAACATGTCTGAACACAGCCAGTGCAGAGGAAGGAATAAGACTATGATAACATGTTCATATTTAAAGAGATTACTGTGCATGGAGGTTGTGTCACCCTCCTATTGGTGGAGGGCTACAGCATTATGACAGTTACATCATGTACAAATGGGAGTTTGTTGAAGGTTTGTGGAATGCACAAAAAATTACAAAGCAGTTGCACACATGAGAACAGCTCTTAGTGGTGCGGAGAAGTAAGTAATGTTTCTAAAAATGAAATTTAATAGAAAAACTTTTCAGGAATGCAAAGAATGTGTGATGAAACTATAATATAATTCCTATATCTGTGGTTTGTTCCCATTAAATTACAGAAGGTTTCCTCCTAGGATAAATTTAGATTTCACTTGTAAGTATTCTACCTACACCTTAAGTCTAATGTAGTGATTAAATTACTTTCTAATATTATCAAAATGTAACAACTTACCAACAAAGCATTTTCAAAATTTGGGAGTTTATTTGTGGTCAAAGCAATAATGACACAAGTCCCTGTCAAAGCAAAGATAAACAGGATGACAAGGCTTGGATGGTTGGCAACCTGACGAGCATACCTGAGAATACAAAAACATTCTTTCAGAAATGTGCTTTTTAAATAACATTCAAGTTAAAGGATCATGAACTATCTGATAAAACTGAAAAATAAAGACTAAAACACATCATTGTATTTACCCATAAGAAATATCTGAGAACACTCTGTGTGGATTATTGTACAAATACTTATAAACATTTACATGTGTTGCATTTGTTTATATTTAATGCATACTCTTCAAGATATAAAATTACCACTGCAATATCAGTTTCAGTTTATAAACATCCACATCAACTGACCTCTACATTATCAGTTTTAACCTTATAAACATCCAGGTGATCACCAACTTACCACTGCATTATCACTTCTATTTTATAACCATCCAGGTGACTTCATGTTTTAAACTATCATCTTTCCATATTTGCAGAGACATAAAGTATTTCCTGCAATAAAAGGAATTATGATGTCATAAAGTTAAATTTAACACCCTTCTGAAAGACAACCAAAAACAACTTGAGAATAACTGACAAACATATGTACCTACCACAGGAGTGAAAAGAAAATAATGTTTTGTGTGCTTTATATATTTGTAAATAATGTATAATACAAAACTTCACCATATACAATTTTGTAATGGGTTCTACCATTGAGTAAGTTCTTTTAGATTGTCTAGTAAAAATAATGCCAAGTCCAGTAATTATGAGTTATCTTGTGCAATTAATCCTTATGCATTAATAAACAGTTCCTGCAATTTACACATTGTTGTCATTATTGAGCCAGTCAAGGCTATTTTTGACCACATGGTATTTTTCTCCTTAAAGAGTATCAGAGTTTAAAAGAAATTAAACCAAAAGAAATATTACATCAGTCAAATGTTGAAGGAGGACACTGCAAACCATCTAAAGCCTATGTGATTCTCAAATTCTTAATGTTCCTTGGAAAAACTTGAAGGACACTAGATTCTGTGTCAAAAACAATAAACTAAACAAAATTACAGTGAAGGACAAGCATTGGTGGTCATGCATTGATGATGAACTTGAATTATTGGGCAAATCAAAATTTATCAGCACTTTAGATGTGTCTTCTGTTTACTAGCAAGTATCTATTGGCCCCAACAGTAGACCTGAAACAGAATTTACATCTTAATATGGTTTGTTTCAATTTAAAGTATTGTCATTTGGATTATGCAATGCACCTGCAATGTTTCAGAGACTAATGAACAAAATTTTATGAAGTATACTGTACAAATGTGCATTAGCAAATACAGATGACATAGTTGAACCTTCTCTTACATTCAAGCAGCATCAGCTGGACTAACAGTAAAGTTGGATAAATGTTATTTCTGTAGATCTGAATTTCTTTTTCTTGGATATATCATAGCTCTTGATGGTATAAAAGTGGGAAAAGTAAGAGCTGTTAAAAGAGTTCCCTGCACTCAAGAGAATCAAGCAGGTGAAAGAATTTCTTGAATTAACTGGATATTTCCATAGATATTTCTCAAATTTTGCTATTTTGGTTGAACCTTTGACAAGGCTAACTAGAAAATCTATTCCTTTTTTTTGTGTGATCTTGAGATTGTCAAGATGCCTTTCAGGAATTGAAGAACCATTTTTGAAATTCCCTGATTTTCAGAAATTATTTGCAGTACAGAGTAATGTTTCAGATGCAGACTTAGGTGCTATCCTAGTTCAAGATGCTGATAATTCTGAAATTATCTGCTAGCCATCCCAATGAATATAAGTTCTCTATAGTTGAGGGAGAATTATGAGCTATAGTTTAGGCCTTTGAACATTATGAACAATACTTAGAAGGATGTAAATTTATAGCATTTTCTGATCATGGTGATTTAGCTTGGCTATCTAATTGTCCAGAACTCACAGGATGCATGATGAAATGGATCTTAAGACTACAAGATTTTGATTTTACAGTTGTATATAAGCCTAGAAAGTTAAATTGCATACTAGCTGTCTTGTCTCAGAACCTTATTGAGTGATAACACTGAAGAAATTCTTGATGTTCCTTTTACAGTTGTATTATCTTCCTTAAACATTAGAAAATAATCATTATTATTTTTGGAGGAAAAAGTTTATGTTTGAGCCCTAAAACTGGCTGATCCAATAATTGGACCAATCCTCAAAGGGTCAGAAATATAAAATTCTGCAAAGTAATGAATTTTCCATAACATATAAGACACAAGAGGGTCTTCTATGTGTTGTCAGTCTAGAAACAAACTGATCATACCATGCTCAAATACACTTAGTTCTATATTCTTCTTTACAAACAACAGTAATGAATCATCACCATGATCATTCACTAGCTGGCCATATTTGAATAGCTAAAACTATTTCAACAGTTTTCTGGTCTAGTAATCAACAAAATATAAAACAGTATGTTCGCTCTGTCATGTATGCCAGACTTGTTGTTCCAAACTATACATGGTAATTTCTCTGCCTTGGTTTTATTAGTCTGCTACCGAACATTGCAAAATGATACCAACACATTTGTGTATTTGTTAATTATTTCACTAAATGGGTAGAGGTTTCCCTATTAGAGAAGCTACAGCTAAAACTGCTTCTCAGTTATTGGTTTATGAAGTAATTGTTCAACATGGTGTCCTTATCAATTTAACAACAGACAGAAGAACTCAGTTTGTAAGTATCTGTTCAAATCGATTATACCAGGCAATGAAAAAAAAATTTTTTGGTGCTACTAGAAAAAAAGCAGCTGTTTCTGAGAAATTTGATGATGCTGATTCTAAAAATTATGTTGAAAATAACTGATCACCACCAGTTTTTGAGTTATGATACATTTGTTCAAAATATTCTTATATATAATGAAAATAACTTTTTCTTTAATAACGTTATTTATTCACTGGAAATTGCATTTAAAAATGTTCAAAAACAATACATAATAGCAATACCAGTTTAAAAAAGCAATGAGTATAATAAGATTATATACTGAAAATACATTCAGGCTATGTTCAAAACTTTCATCATGGTATTATTTTTTGTTATAAAATATCTGCTTAACTTGTTGTGCCTTTTGTGTCAAGCCACATGTGCAAACTGTAGAAAACACATGTGGAGCCCAATGTCTTTCTTGGTCACCAATTTTACATCTAAAATAGTGGTAGTAAGCTACCTTTACCTTGTGTGTGTGATGTTTTTCCTTTGTGAAACTAATATATTTTCCACAAACATAGCAGAAACTATTTGGGTGATTTTTGCACTTTTGGACTTTACTTGAACTGGATTTTGTTTAAAAACCTAGAGTTTCAAAGATTTAAAAAACAAAGTTTTGCAGAATTTGATTCTATCATAGACATGATGCGAAATGAAGATCAGACTTTGTTTTGACTGTGAGCGGAGCAAGGCGAAGTGACCAACTGTTTGAGAAGCAACTGAGAGAGAGGTGTCTGACTCCATCTCTTTTTGAAGATTTAAGGTTTCTTCTCAATTTATGGTGCCATTATGTTTTAGAGAAACGTTCTAATATACCATCTATGATTCAATTAAATAAAACATTACTAATACTTTCAAGACTGTTGTTCCTTCAGTTTGCAATAACTGGATAAATCACAAGCACAACAGAAAAAATATTATGATGATTGTCATCATCCTCTTACTTTTGAAGTTTTTGATTTGATTACAGGTTGTACTCATGTTCAATCTCATGAAGACATTGGTTTCATTGAAAAGTTGGCTCCTATTTATTGCAGTCCACTTACAGTTGAAGCAAACCTTTTGGATGTGACTTACAAATTGAAGAGTGTACCAGATATTATTTCAGTGGGAACATACCATATTACTCTTTTTTTCACTTGAATGAAGAAGTACCTTAACTTCATGTCACCAACATATGATTGTCTTTTATATCATCTCCTTCATAGTTGTTCTCAACTTGATCCTCACAACCATTCTCAAACTACAACTGAACTGCCCTCTTGTCTTTGGACACAATCTTTCCATTCTGATCATTTGGATTTGTAGTTTTTGTCTGTGGAAAGACAAATGTTTTTATAATAATTTTATAATAACTTATATTTCCTCTTTATATATTATGCAATTATCTTAGCTAAGCCTAACTACAGAAATACAATGTATGATAATAAAAGTTTAGAGACAGCCTGAATTGGTAATGTCATTATTAGATATTAGCTGTACAACATGTTTATTGGTAATTAGCTTATACATAATGTTATGTTAATAACTGTAAACAAGTGACATAAATGTATGCTGAGCTATGGTCTATAGCAGCATTTCCCAAACTATGGGTTGCGACCCACTGGTGGGTCGCATGCGGAATGTTAGTGGGTCGTAAAAAGTTATATTAGAATTACACATTAGCTTTGATTAAACGCTGTCTGTCGAAATAGTTCAAGACTCGGGCTTTCATTGCCAGGCTGTTGTTGTATAAAGCAGTATGTTGTTTTGACGAGCTTAACGAATTAGGGTTGATCATTTTTCAAAACTAAACGAACTGAATTTGTACTTGCAAGGAGCAGAGGGCATTAGTATATTCGCAATTCATGAGAAAATTCAAGGTTTCATGAAAAAACTTGTTCTATGGAAAAACTGTATTGACAACCGAAATTATGACTGTTTTAAAACATTTCAAACCTTTGTAATGGAGAATGAAGCAAAAGTTGATGACGATATAATCATTGAGATATCTGAACACTTGAATAAGCTGAAAGAGAGTTTTGAGTTTTATTTCCTTGAAAGAATGAAAAATATCCAAGAGAAAAAAATGGATTATGAACCCCTTTCAGCCTGCC